CAGGCGCGGAACAGCTGCGGTGTATCTGAAAACTTAAATGCTCTTTTTATATATATATATATATATTTTTCCCCCCCCTTTAATGCATCTGAAGACTGGATCTGCCCTGTGCACTGAAAGGGAACCTTTTCCTATTCCAGAAAAACTGGATGAAGTGTTTGGTTCAGAATATTAAATGTGTTTGGGATTATGAGGGTTCATCTATTTAGCTACAAGTATTTTCAGTTTGGCTGAATTCACAAGGGGAGATGGGAGACTGGGGATGGACTGACGGACAGGAGAGACCTCATCTGCCTGAAATCATGTTTGAGTCTTCCTTGTGCACTGCAGGAACATGATAAAGGCTTTTTTTGTTGTTGTTACGCAAAGTAACATTCACATTAAAATACACATACTGCTAGCACAGTAAGTCAAACAACTATGTGTAAATTGTATGCTACATTTAAATAAAAACAACAGCCTTTAAAGGGATAAATAATAGAAGCATCTGGTCTGGCAGCCATCTTACTGTGAGCAGCATATGATGCTTTTAGTGCTTAAACTTGGCATCAGATGTTACCAGTAGCTGCCTGGGGGGGAAGAATGCCGGTTTTCTGCTAATAATACTGGAACTGAGTTTCATTTAAGAAATCTGAGTACTAAGGACAAAGTTAAATTCACTTCTAATATCTAGCCTTTTTCTTCCTCTCTCTTTTTGCAGAAGAAACAAATCACTTCCGGTGTGACTGATGTTCTTCTGGCAAATGTGGCAGGGAAATGTTTTTTAAAAGTCTCTTCTCCCTTAAGATTTTAATTAAAAGATTAACAAAATGTATATGTTTGGAATATGTTCATTTTCAGCAGCATCCTGTGTAATTATAGCAAGAATAGCATAAATGGCAAAACAGAGATGAATTGCTGATGCTGTTCTGAAGAAATAACTAGTCCCTGCAATGAGAGCGGTCATTTGCCAGTAAACTTCAGGAAAATATTTGCATTGGCTCAGCGCCAGTCTGCTTTACCAGTTCAGGGTAATGTTTTGCTGTATGTTGTGCTGCACTTTCAAAGAACATGATTAAAAGAGGAAGAAGAGTTAGGAACAAATTGAGGTATTATGAAACTGTAAAGTATTTTGTGAAAGGGTTACAAGACTTTAAAGGATGCACATTCTACAGAACTGCAAGTGGCTGAAAACAATCTGGAATGAAACCTTCAGTTTGAACATCTTAATAAACATTCATAAACAATGCTTTATAATGTGTAGCCTAAGGTCTTGTATAAATATTTTAGGCTTTTTTTTAATATTTATGCTAGGAAATGTGTTTGAAATTAACATTTTTGATTAAGTTTGTCTTATATTTGATAAGTCTTTTAGATTTTTGTAATGCTGCCAGTCAGTGTTTCAGGATTAACTTCTATAGTCTATTCAGTGTTTTAATGAATTACAGGTTTTAGTTAAGCCAATTTTTTCATGTGGCGTTTTTATCAGTAACTTTGTTTATTCCATTCTTAAATTTGTAGAGAAAAATACCTATTGGTATGGCAAGCTTATTTTACTTTCCATATGTTAGGCCTATCTAGTGCCTACTAAAAATTGAACTGAATTGTATGCATCTTCCTTTTAAAGCAAAAACGATCTTGCAGAAATGTCTGAATTTTAACTTCTGATGTATTTGTAAGACATAAAATTTAGCCCTCTACATATAACATCTAGGTGAAATGTCCAATTTACCTGGTACACTTTTTTTGGAAGTACCTGCAGTCCATCACTTCTTGCTTTTGTTTCTTCTTTGCAGCTTATCCTTTTTAATACATGAAATTATAAAGTATTTTAAACAGGCTTGATTTAACATATTAATGTACTTACGTGTTGGAACATCCTGGTGTTCTCTCTTTTACACTCAGAAAAGCAAAATTGTAATACATGCTTTCTTCTCACACTTCAGCAATTTGGGGGTGGTGATAGTGTGTGTTTGGGTTTGTTTTTTATTCTTTAAACTTAATGCATCAGATAATAAGAGGTCCTTTTAAATTGCAGTGGTTCATTCCAGAAGGGTTTGCAATGAGTCTCACTTGCCAACCTGAATTTCTCATTCATCCTTCCTGTACTTGATATCTCTGTGCTGCCACTTGTGCCTCTGGAAAACAAATTATGCATCAGGTCCCTTTTGTATCTGAATAATCAATCTTACCAGTTTCTGGTGTAATCTTGGTTCAGTACAGTTTCCATTTGCTTTGTAGTGTGCTTGCATATTTTCTAACTAACCAGATTTTAAACATTGTGTTCTAATCTTCCAACAGAAGTCAGACTGAAGGTCTCTTAAAGTTTGTTAATAGAATAGTTACCATCACCGTAGGGATATGGTGAGATATTAAAGCAAAGGGAAAAGAGGAAAAGCAATAAGGACTGTGTGGAAAGACATAATCCTTCCTTAAAAGCTGTCAAACTGGGTGTCCATCTGTAACCAGTCCCTCAGTCAAATCTTACTCATCCTACTTTTTTTTTTGCTTTTACAAATATTATTTGTGTATAGATCTTTTTTTTTCTTTTTTGCGCCATAGAGTATGCAGACTTAGGTCATGGTTCTCCTTCACACATAGAAGAGGAAGGTGGAAGTGTAATGCTTCTCTTATTACCAAACTTCATTATACAGCAACATCAACACTTCCGTTTGTGTATATTTATTTGGTAGTACACTGATGGCCTTTAAAAGGAAGTTATAGTTTCAAATTCTCCCAGCATATAGGAGGTATTCTGGTAACTTTGTATTTTCAGGCTCTTAGAATGTAAATACCCTGCCTCAGTCTCCTGAGTTCAGGGTCTGTGTTACCGCTGATAATGAAAACTTGTAGGATGCTGATACACACCTAAGCTATGTACATATATGTTCTTTTGTTTTAGAAAACTCAGTATGTTAAGAAGTTACCATGGATGCGAGATCTTAGTGGCAGTAACAGATTTAAATATTGAAACCCTAGTATCTGAAACTTAAATTTCATATTGATGTTATGATTTGTAGTTCAACAATGACCATGTCAGAGAACTTAAGCCGCACCCTCGCGGTTTACGTAAGTCGCTAGTCACAGCTTCTCTACTGTCGTTATCTGTCAGCAGCTAAATGCAACGAGGTATTGAAATTTGTATTGCTTAATTTAAGAAATTTTAATAAACCCTCAAGAAGAAGGAAATGTTTTAACTTTTTTATATTAAAGCACACTCATTTACAGCTTATCAGTGATAATGCAAATTACAACAAGTTGTTAATGTTTTAAAGATTTTGGAATCAAAATTAGTTAACAATGCTTGTGTTCCTGCTCTTTAACAGTGTGGGGGTTTTTGTGGGGGTGGCTTGGTTTTGTGTGTGTCTGGTTTTTGGGTTTTTTTTAATACTGATTGACAGGCATAAGATATTTTCAAGATGGTCTACAAGGGGAGCACTGTTGCTAGTTATTTTCCTGCTACATGGTGTGGAAGGGGATATATTAAAATTAGTGGTTTGTCCCTGAAAATCTTTACTACTACCAGCTGCAGTTGTACTGCAGAATTTATTGCATTTGCTTTAATGTTCAGTAATACTTAATACTGGCCATTGTAAGAAGAGAAGCTGTACTCTTATGACCTTACAGTAAGCTGAAAAATACATTCATGTAATAAGCATGTGTGAGATCCCAAAATAACAATGAAATAGAAGAAAGGTGTAGATAAAAGTTCATGTCTCCATCTGCATGGATCAATATTACTTCTCCTCTCAGTGCTTGAAACAGAGTGGTAACAACTGTCATGTGTTAGTGCTTTGTTAGTGTAGTCCCATGTTGATCTCTGCTTTCAGCAGCAGTTGTGTCCCAGATGAGAAGTAGTATTTGCAGTGAGCTCTGAGATTCTTTGGAGGGAAATGCAGTGACTGTTTTCAGGTTCTGCAATTAGAGGTCTATAAACTCATGGGCACATGATTAGTGTATGTAGTGATTGTAATGAGCTTTGGACGTAAACAGAGGTGAGCGTTCTTGCTGAAAATGAGATGCGTATACTGGCTTATATTTGTACTTAGTATATTGATAGTTTACATATATTAGTCTTAATAGTATTAATAGAAACAGCTTCCTGAAATTTCACAACGCTTACAGGTCTGTTAATGTTTAAGCTTCACATTTTTAGAGATCAGTGCTAGGATAGTATATTAGTGTCTCTTACCCTTTACTGTTTATGGTAAAGTTGAAGCTCATTATTTTCCATCTTCTGAGTAGTTTTACTAGGCTGAGAACAAATACTAGCTATACGTGGTCTTGTAGAAAATGTTCACTGTTAAAAGGCTGTGTCACATTACAACAAATACTTGATGACTCACTAAACTAGATCTGTCCAGCTGTTCAATAAAAGCAGGCTCTGTTGAATAGTGATTCTGTGCAGCCATTCTTCCCTCTCCCCATCCCCCAATTCTTGCAAAAAATATGTTGCAACACTTTCAGAATATTTCATAACAGTACAGCTGGTGCATAAATAGTGTAAAAGCTGTACCCTGGCAACTGCCAGTGTCAAAGCATGAAATTCCACGTGAGAAATGCGTATTCTGGCTTTTCAAGAAAGTAATTTTCAATGGGTCGTGTGCATTAATAAGAGTCACAAATTTTTGATGTGTGGAACTTCAGATGAAGATTTCTGTTTAGCTTTCTATGAGATCATGCAAACTTCAAGGACATTTCTTACAGTTGGAGATGGGCTTCTTAATGTGTGTGACCCAAGCAGACATATTTCAAAAAATTAAAAGTTAGGAGGAAAGCATAGAAGAAAATACTTTTCCATCATAACATTACTGCTTTGCAGTAATGTGGGAGAGAAAGAAAGAAGACAGAAAGTGCAAGGTGCCAAAGCCCACTATTTCTCAGTTGGTATTGAAATTCTTAGCAAAAATAGCTTCAGGTGGTAGATGCAGAAAGGAAGGAAGAAGGGTGAGACACCTGGAAGAAGGATCAATTTGAAACATTAGTATTTTAGCACTGCAGTTTCTTCTATATGTGTTGTGGCTCTCTTCACGTCCAGTAGAAGCAGTAGAATAAAAACTCAGATCTGGAAGTATTGCAGGGGAAATAAACTAAATGTAACTGGTGCAGTTATGAGTCACTGTTAATGTGATGATGGGCTGGGAGGGGGAAGGAATTGCACTTTTTTCCACTTATATCCGTTTTCAGTCATTAGTCCTGCAGAAAGAAGAAAAAAAATCATCATGTATCCTGTCTGTTTACAGAAATAGGAACCTATAAATAGTTGCTCAAAGAAAAAATGTAGTGAAGCAAGAAAAGATAAATTAAAGGAAATAATGCTATTGATAGTTGCATAGCAGTGTTTGAGCTTGGGGCAAAGCTTGATCACAGTTAGTGTCGGCGTAGAAGCTTTTTGGATAACTTCAAAAACACCATTTGAAGGCAAACATGCAATTTGAATTGGTGTGTCTTCTACTGAATATCCTTGCTATCCTGTATGTGAAGACCAAGGAGTCAAGATGTGACTTGTCTGTTGCTCAAAATGTGTAGTTGGGACTCTTTACACTGGTTCCCAGTCTCCTGTTTGCTCTTCTCAGCAGAAGGCTTTCCAACTTTTTTATTTTGTGGGGAGAGGGAGGTGGTTTGCTTGCTTTTTGTTTTAACATTGTTCTCTCTATTCAGTCTTTGAAATCATTGAAGCTGAAAGTGTGGGTCCTTTAAAAAAAAATAAAATTAAGCTGTGGTCTTCACCTGTTTCAGTTAGATTGTCATTATAAAGGAAAATGTTTTGGCATTCTGGACAATAACGACAGTATTTTACCATGTAACTTTGTCCATTACACCACCAGAAAACAGTCTCTCTTCGGTCCTGTTAATCAACAAATGTAATGTTTCTTAATATTACTGGAAGATTTGTTGAGATTCAGGTAGGTGTGTTTAGGTTAATCAGAACATTTTTGACATTACCCCTCAAGACAAGCAGGTTCCTGCCTCTTTTTTAAATTATAATTATTAAACAGGTAGTTGTTCATGAGAATGGAATGAAGCTATCCCTGGCTTACCCAAGAATTTTAGGTGCCAGCCAGCAGAATACGTGCCCCATTTCTGTAAAGGTAGTTACACAGTATGTTTTTCAGTCCACTTGAGAAGTGCCAGGCAGACAAGTGTTTGTACTAGGCTAATGAAATTACACTAGAGGTAGTTTTGGCAACACAGTGAGGGGCATAGTCTAGTTAGCCCAGCAACATTAGCAGAATACATAAGCATTGATCAGTTGCTATTGTTACTTACTTTCTTATATCAAGACAAAACCATCTTTGCTTATACTGTATTGTCCAAGAGTGAATATGGAACGCATGCTTGTTGCAAATCCAAGATGCTTGAAAGCACAAAAGAAATATGCAAAATGCTCCCTACCATAATTCTAAGAAAATACCTATATTTTATATGATGCTCCTTTAGAAATGGTGTATGAGTGTCAGTTATAACTGTGAGGAGGTATGCACGTTGGGTATGCTTGGCAACTTAGTCGATAAGAGTTGTCCAACTGTTTAGTTGTGATTTGGCTGATTGCTAAGAGGTGTTTTTAAAATTCGGTATGTGTTCTTCAGCACTTTGATATTTAAAGTTCATCCAATCTAATTGCCTTTCCCCCCCCCTTTCCCCTCTGTCTTTCAGCAAACGAGGATTCAGCGTCCGATCCTTTGGAACAGGGACTCATGTGAAACTGCCAGGACCAGCACCGGACAAGCCGAATGTTTATGATTTCAAAACAACATATGATCAGATGTACAATGATCTGCTTAGGAAAGACAAAGAACTGTATCCCTGTGGCATGGCCTTTTTAAAAAAATCCAATATGGTTCATCAAAGGTGTAATTCATTATTTGGCATTATGCATTAGGAATACATAGTTGCTTGACCAGCAATCTTAAAATGTTTTAGGTTTATAGGAGGTTTTTTTACAATGGGCCTCTAATGCTCCCTTGTAAATTGCTATTGAGTTACAATGCACGCATTCAAAAAGCTCTTTTGTAGTATGTTAACGTGTTTAACTCTTGAATGAAAGCATATTAATATTATGACAGATTGTCCGTTACCTCCATGCACTGTGGCTCATATTTTCTCAGTGCAAAGACTGTCCTGATATCGGATATGCGAAGAGCGACCACCTCGACATTAATGTTGTATTTAGCTCAGACAAACTGACAGGTAAGGTTTACAGTATACTTTCTCTGGGAGAGAGGATATCTTTCATTAAAGAGTTCACCCTTCTCACTGAGAATTTCTTGATACCTGATTTGATCTGTGCACCGAAAAAACCCTCCACTCCTATAGTATATTATAAATCGTAGAATCATTTAGGTTGGAAAAGACCTTTAAGATCATCGAGTCCAGCTGTAAAAGAATGGACATAGGAGAGCCTGATAACATGTTTAACCCTGGAGAGCAGAGTTGATTGAGGTTATGCACACTACTTAAAACCGTAACTAGGGTCAGACTGCATGATTTTAAAACATCTTAAATTAAAAGTCAACTTTAAATATGTTTTTAAGAATACCCACAAACCTATAAAATTGGGATACTCATTCTAGATATTCTTTTCTCAACAAGGGATCTGATTTTTATTTAATGTTAAATATGAAAGAGAAAACTTAACCTAAATAAGGAATTCAGTATATGCTGAATTTCTGCTTGAAAGATAGAGGACCCTTTAGAGTGAAGTATCCCAGAAATGAGTCTTGGTAATTCAATAGAGTAGTCTTTGCACATTTTAGTGGTATAAGGTTTTTTCCAAAAATCTTGGGAATGGCCGTCTGAAGATCCAACAGGAATGTTACCATAGTTTAAATGTCTTCATTGTCTTCAAACAGCCCAGTTTTCTTGAATCTTTTGGAAAAAATTCAGATAAGACTGAACACATTGTCAGAGACTAGAAAACTTGGAACATGGTAGAAACTAGTTCAAACTGTTACCCAAGGAGTTAGCAAACTCAATAACTTTTTGAAAGATAGCTCTGCAGTTGCACAGATTATATTATGGCTTACTACTACTCAGCAAATTCTTTGTTGTATTTGCTGACCAGAAATAATAAATTTGAGCTCCCTGACACCCCAAGAGTGGCGCTTCTTTTGCATTGGGGATTGAAAGACTTGTTAAGAAGGGCTGGGCTGTTTGATTAAAGCTATACAGCACCATGAGGACTCATTAAACATTGGAGTACCTTTCTGCATGGTGTTCCACACAAATGGTATCCCTTGTCAGGGGTTTTGGTTTCCTAATATCTAGTTAGAGGTCCTTTTTTTTAAAAAAAAAAAAGGGTGTAGTCTTAATGAATCACACATGTGATGTGCTGGGGGTTTTTTTGTATCCCTCTGCCTAGAGAGAAAAGGAAAATCTTGCAACCCCATCTTAATGAGGTATGCCATATCTTGATTAAAAAAAAATGTTTTGAAAGAAAATTATTTGCATTGAGAAATAATTTTAACAAGCACTTACGACTTGTGATTTTCCTTGTTGCGTTCTTCATTGCTGCTGCTATACTGATTATGGCACTACTTTAAGATAAAACCAACAGAAAGCCTACCTCGTCCCCCCATTCAGCATACTTTGGAGTTCATTTTGGTTCTGCTCCCTGCTGGAGATGGCTGCTGTGTGGCCCAAATGTATTTGCAGTGTTACAGTTAAACCTTTTCTCAAGATAAAGCAAGTTCAAACAATAGCCATTGCAAGGGAAATAGAGCAAGAACAAGTTACCTCTACATCTTTGCATTTTTGATTCTTAGCTATTAGAAGTTAAGGTGTTCAGAGTAAGCATTGTCAGTGCAGAAAGCCACTCCATTTCCAGAAATGGGTTTTGAGGGTAAAGACTTTCAACTGAAACCAGACCTACTCTTGTCAGAGCTGTGGAGTAGTTTTTTGTGAACCAGGGTCATGTGGGCTCTCAGGTTTTTTTGGGTGAACATTACTACATAGAGGTCATGGGTATGCAAACATTACCTGCTGAGGGGTGGGAGGGCCTGCTCTTCTGATTGGCTTTGAGTGTAATTGGTATGGAAAAGCAAAAGAAGGTGTGGTTCTTCAAATGATTTAGCTGCTTGTTCTGTTTCCCAGCCTTGCTTTCATCAGCTAAACAGAGATGACTGTCATCTGTAGCCTTTCCATGGGGTTTGAAATAGTGTATCTTGGTGACAACTGTCTGCTTGTTCCCCTATTCCAGTGATGGCACACAGGAAGTTTGAGTGCTCAGCAGTCAGTATAGCCTTACTTAGATGCGGTGTCCTTCCTCCAGTTCTGTATGCCAGCAGGGGTCCAAAGCATTACACTAGATACTCAGTGAAATTGTGGCTGTAAGGGACTTGGAACGTTTTCTGTTTGGCAGCCAAGTAAATGACCCCTTTTCCAGAAAGCAGTAGTCTCAAACAGAAATGTGCTTCTGCAGTGGCGGACATCAGTCAGAGCAAGGTTGAAAATGTGTTAGAGTGAAATGATCCATTGAAACTCTCTTACTCACTTGTGGAAGGGAGGGAGAACTATCAAAAACCTACTCTGCAGAGACTAAAAGCACCTTCATTGCAGTTAATTAGTGAAATACAGAGCACAAGCTCACATACCTTGAAGGCATATGTTGAATTTCAGAAGCATAAGGATTAATGGAGCCAGGCGCACAGATTCAGTTAAGTAGGTGGTTACAGTATATCTAAAATGGAAGTACTTCAAAGCTTTTTAAGATGTAGTAGTTAAAATTATAGTTAAAGTATGTATCCACATCTACTACTGCACTTTTAGAATATTGCATTTAAATTCCTTGCGTCCCAATAGAGGACTGCAACAAAACCATTTAAGGCTGTTCTGAATGTGGCTTTTGGTTGTTTTTTAAAATATTGCCCTATTATTTCTAGGAGAACAGTAGAGGGTTCTACTAGTAATCTGTAGGAGACATGACCGATGCGGGGCTGTACATGTATAGTATAGATACACTACCTTGTTGTATTTGCATGTGTAACCAGACCTCTCAAAGATATTCCACTATGATTGCTCACACCTTACAACTGTGTGAAGGTGTTTAAGGACTTAGTTCTAATTATATGATGGTGACTTTAAAGATGAAACAAAAGTAGAAAAAAAACCTGGTGACCCCTGCCTTCAAGTGAACGCAAAAAACTAATCAAGGATGAAACTTTCTAAACGCCAATTTAAATGTTCAGCAGCAATTGCTTTTATGCCCAGGGATAGGAACTGGTCAAATGGAAATTTGACCAGAATTCTGCAGCAGTAGATCCTGGGTTCTTTATCAGTATTAACTAACTCCATGATTGAATGTTTCTTTCCTTTCCCAACATTGTGACCCTCAGATGGAAGATACCTAATAATTTCCATAGATAGGGGGTTTTTTAGTAGGATTTCTAGGCAGCCTACCTCTACTCTGCAAGCTTGGCCTACTCTGTTTCCTACTTCTTTTACCTTGTATTTTACTTTGACCTGCCCTCTAAGTGTAGATAGGATTCCAGCTTTAGCTCCATAGTTTTATGATGATATAAAACTGGGGGAGGGGGGGGAGGGCACACAGAACATGTCCTCAAGAAGTTACTAAAGGTGTACTTCAGGCAGAAAGGGAAATGTTTTTGAAATTAAGGGGAAAAACTGGCTTGGTACATCTCAGAGAAGGACATAAGGATTATTTTCTGTCAAAAAAAAAATAGTAGTGATAATCTAGGTGATTGGTATCTAGGGTTTTTTATCTGTGAACTCCATATTTAAGCTAGATGGCCATATGGTACTTTTTGTGCTATTGCTGATGTGGTGGTGGTTTTTGGTTTTGGTTTTTTGTTTTTTAATAGTACCCTTCGCATTCAGAACAAGTGGAAACAGTTTCTTCTGCCATATACAGACCACTTTGCCAGTAAATATTCATAGCATTATGGTCTCCCCATAGCTGACGTTTATCCCTGATTTATCCCCCAGTCTCCTATCTGCCTGAGATGATGTGCTCTATTAACTGGTAAGATGCATTGTGGTAGAACATCAGTAAAGGAAAATGTGGTGGCTTTGGAGCAAGTGTAGGCTCAAGGGACTATGTATAGCAGTTCCAGAATTGAAGTGGGGAGCAGGGCGGGGCGGAGAATCAGAAGCAGGTTCTGACCTGCACAAGATCTTCACAGGGACTAGATGAACAAAACTTTTTAGAAGATGAGGAAGGTCAACAGAAGTATATTGTTGAACTAAATTTGCTTCATTGTATAACTGTGTAGGAGGAGAAAGACGCTGTGCCTTTTCCAGAACTTTTCAGTCTCGCTTGAGACACCGTCTCCTGTGGCCGTGAAGAAGGATAAACGCAAAGAGGATTGGGACTAGCTGAGAAGAGGGGGCATACAGAAGCAGTGAGGTTGTATTGAGGATTATTTTTTTCTGTCTTTGTAGGTGATCAAGAAGGAGGTGCTGAAGTCTTAGTTGAGCATCTCTGCAGTTAGGCTATTCTCCCAGGAAAAACTGCATTTCCTGTCTTGGAGTTGAGCTTAGCTTCATGGGACAGTACAATTTGAGTATTAATAGTCATCTCTTCCAGAAGATTTCTTCTGCTTTCTTCCTCTCCTTAACACTGGTATGGGGAGAAAGAAAAGTTGAGTGTGTCTCAACTGTAGTAGAAGGTTACTTGGTATCAGCCACAGAATTGATAAGCTGATTGCTGAAATATTGCATATACATTGTAATGTGAGTGCATTGCTGGATTCTGCTTGAGGCAAGAAATAGAATTGCATGTCAGACCAAGATCAGACTATCCTACAAGTCAATAAGAAGTCATTCTCTATTCAGTCTGAAGG